AATACACCGTATACAACTATGGGGCCATTTTGTTTCAAAGCATCTTGAATGTGTTCTTTAAATAAAATGGCAGCATCATCCAAAAACGCACTTATGTCTAGGTGTACAATATTTAAAACAACATTCGTATACAGTCGACATTCAAATGCACTCTCACATTCAGCCCATCGCACGCGGTTATTAATGTTAGGGTCTTGTAGACCACCGCCCTCTATCGCTTGAGACTCGAACAATACTCGAAATCCCATTATGGATTGCAAAATGTCCTGGCAACGACTTTTCTCATGCGTAAAGTACATGGATTTTAAAAGACGTGTCAGAACTTGTTCGTTGCGAGAACTTTCTGCAACCATTATTGGCGCCATTGCTTAAACTCGCTAACAATTCGAGAGCATCCTTGATGAGTACAATCGTGACCTCACATTCATCAAGGATGGTGCCATAACACTGTGTGACAAAATAAAAAAAGTTGCCTGCACTTTTATAGAGACCTAGTATAAGTTGTAGGTCTAGTAAAACTATGAACAATGATGTGTGAGAAATTTCCCAAACACCCCCAAAATTTAATTTTAGGGGCAAAAAACCGTTTTTTGCGTATTCATGTAAAGAATTACTCGTAACTTCCGTAATTTTCAACCGATTTTCAAAATTGTTCTTTTATTTAAAAGGGGATAAGCACGCCTTTTTAACCGTGTATTGCTCGTTTACTCAAAGTAAAAATTAACAAATCCACAGTTGAAAATATTTGCTATTTATCGATTTTCATTCCATTTTTTCATCTTTAACGAGGTATTTAGAATAATATTCGAATTTACAGATTCTTTTCATAATAATTTCTTAAAAGTATACTTAATTCTGCGTAAAATGAGTATTTTTTGAAAACATTTTAATACAAATTGAGGGAGATACGTGAATTTAAAGATTTAAAAATTTTTTCTCCAAAGTTATAAATATTTCAATTTTGCTGTGAAATTTACATCAGGGCACTTTAAATTTTGTGTTCACTAAATTTAATTGATTAACTAAAATGGCATGCATGTCAAACTTGTTTTTGATAGATTTAAATAAAGACAGAGTCCGTATCGAGAGGGAGAGTCCGGTTAAATTTTAACTTTTCTATATTTATATTGTTTAAGTGTGTCAATGTTTTTCAAACATTATTTAGGATTCAAATCTATTCTATATTATCACTGGGTTACAAAAAAATGGTCATATCGTGTTTATTTAAAGTTTCCTGTGATTATTGAAAGTTTAGGTGTCACTGAATAAGAATATACCAGTAAAACATTTTTTCATTCGGTCATTCCCTTAAAAAAACGAGTTTAAAGTGTCAAAAACCGTATTTTTAGCACTTTTTGAGGCAGCGTAACAAGAAAACGCAACATGATAAAAATCTCTACAAGAGCTTAAATAAAAGCTTAAACCTTCAACTTTGAGGCTCAGAACTGAAAAGTACTTAAATAATCAATAAAAACCTCCTTAATCAAGCAGTCGCTACCTGAAATTGTCAAAAAAGCTAGAACAGGAAGCAATTGGTAAAAATCGATTTCCTTAAGCGGATTCGGTTGCAACTTGTTACTTGAAGTTTTTTGAGGTTTCTAATGACGAATTGGAACTTAGATTTAAAAAATTTCAAAATGGCGGACTGAAAATAATGAATTCACTCAATTTTTCAAAATTTGCGTTGATAATTTTAAAAAATTGAGTCCGCCACTTTGAAATTTTTTAAATCTAAGTTCCAATTCGTCATTAGAAACCTCAAAAAACCTAAAATAACAATTTGCAACCGAATCCGGTTAGGGAAATCGATTTTTACCAAGTGCTACCTAACCCAGCTTTTTTGATAATTTCAGATAGTGACTGCAGGTTTTCAGTGCTTCTTTAAGTACTTTTCAGTTCTGAGCCTTAAAGTTGAAGGTTTAAGCTTTTATTTAAGCTTTTGTAGAGATTTTTATCATGTTGCATTTTCTTGTTACGCTGCCTCAAAAAGTGCTAAAAATACGGTTTTTTGAGACTTTAAACTCGTTTTTTAAGGGAATGACCGAATGAAAAAAAGTTTTTCTGGTATATTCTTATTCTGTGACACCTAAACTTTCAATAAACACAGTAAATTTTAAATAAACACGACATGACCATTTTTTTGTAACCCAGTGTTATCAAAATTAATAAAATTATTCAGTATTGCGAAAAAAGCATATGAAAAGTTTGACAATAAAAAATAATTTAAAAATCTGGTAGAAGTTCAAATTTATATTTTTCGAAATTTTAAGGCATTCTTATATAAATTGTCAAATAATTATCTGTTATTCTTTATTTGAAGATTATAGAATAGATTTTAATCCTAAATAAAGTTTGAAAAACATTAGACACACTTAAATAATATAAATATAGAAAAATTAAAATTTAACCAGACCCCCCTCTAAATACGGATTCTGTCTTTATTTAAATCTATTAAAAACAAGTTTGACATACACACCGTTTAGATAATCAATTAAATTTAGTGAACACAAAATTTAAAGTGCCCTGGTTAAATTTCACAGCAAAATTGAAATATTTGTAACTTTGAAGAAAAATTTTTTAAATCTTCAAATTCACGTATCTCCCTTAATTTGTATTAAAATGTTTTCAAAAAATACTCATTTTACGCAGAATTAAGTATACTTTTAAGAAATTATTATAAAAAGAATCTGTAAATTCGAATATTATTCTAAAAACCTCGTTAAAGTTGAAAAAATGGAATGAAAATCGATAAATCGCAAATATTTTCAACTGTGGATTTGTCAATTTTTACTTTGAGTAAACGAGCAATACACGGTTAAAAAGGTGTGCTTTTCCCCTTTCAAATAAAAGAACAATTTTGAAAATCGGTTGAAAATTACGGAAGTTACGAGTAATTCTTTACATGAATACGCAAAAAACGGTTTTTGCCCCTAAAATTAAATTTTGGGGGTGTTTGGGAAATTTCAAACATACTACTTGTTTCAGTTTTTCAAGATGAACAAGTTAGAATAGGTCCGATTTAAAGTGCCATTTTACTGTCACACAGTGTAATTAGGACGCTTCGCTGGTCTTACGTTACCGGTAAACTTTCGTTTGCCAGGCATTCTTAATAACAAAAAATCAATAACACAAAAAAGTATTAATAACAAAGAAATGAATAAGACAAAACAATAATACTAAAAATATAAAAGCGCATTTACAAAACTAATACACTTAAAAGCTAAATTACAATCTAAGAGAACACAAAAAAGAACAATAAAATGCTTACAAACTAAATCCTTATCTAACAAAACGTAGAAAAAGAAGAATACAATAAAAACGCTTACAAAATAAATTTCAATCTAAGAGAACTCAAAAAAATAATGACAAGTAAAAGTTGGAATACTGTAATCGGTGTTAGCTTAGCTATGTCTACTCTGCGTGAGCTCACAGATTACAATGAGAAAATTTGCTCTCGAAACTCTCATTTATAGTCTGAAATCCCCACTCTAATACCCAAAAATCCCCACTACTACCTTTGCGCATGCGCAGTAGACTATTTACCCCCCACTACCATTTTTGCGCGTGCGCAGGAGACCATTTACCCCCCACTCCTACTTTCCACGCATGTTTAGCACACCATTTACCCCCACTACTACCTTTACGCATGCGCAGCAAACCATTTACCTTACACATAGTTTTCACGCATGCCCGATTCCACACTATCTTAATTTTCATCCATTCTACCACTACTACAACATTCACACATGCATTATATAATTTACCCTAACCTACAATATTAATAAATACACACTTATTTTAGAAAATATACCTTCTATATTAATATTTAATTATTAATATAATTATTAATTATAATTTTAATGTACACGCGTTGACGGCGGCGACGTCGCTCTCGACGACCTCCATTAACATGTGGAGGTATCGGCGCCCAAGGTGACGCTGTTCGCTGAACCTCTCGTGGAGGTGGTCTCGGCGACCTGGGCTTCAACTAAAATATATTATATTAGTACAATTTAATTTTTACTAATTACTTACTTAATTATTAATACTTACATTGTACTGCGACACCATCCTCATCAGGCAGTTGTAGCACTCGCGCTGCTGGTTCTCCATATCGTCCGTCTGCTGCTGTGCTGCGAGCTGAATGAGCTCTCTGTCGTGGGTTAGCTACCCTCATAGGGTTTTCCCCACCAAGCGGTTCCCCCACACGCGCTCTCCCCACCGTGCACTCTTACGAACGCGCTAGGCGGCCGTTGATGGTAGCTAAGAAGATACTTATTACCCGTCGGTAAAGCGCAAAATTTAAACTTTATATACTTTTTTTATTTCATATTGTGATTTAAAATAATGTAATTCACAATATTTTTTTAATAACAATAAATCAAAAATTAAACAAACTAATTATAATTAAAATAATACCTTTGTTTAAAAATTAGCTATAGTAATATATTTTATTACAAATAATAATATTAAATTAATAATTACATAAACTACTAATAAAAATTCAAAACTCACAATAAAATGCATTTAAAGTCAGAATAATAGATTTAAGATTAACTAAACATTCGTTAATTAATAATTATCTAAAATTATATAGAAGTTTGAAAATGAATCTCAGTAAATGATGAAATTAATTAAAATTAAGAAAAATACTTTTTTTGTATTATAATTATAAAAAGTATTAAAATTATTGAATTATAATTTTTTTTGCATTTCAAGAAGTGTAAAAATATTTTACTAGTTGATGTATTTGCTCACTATGTGAATATTAATAATTAGTATTAGTTTTAGGCTGGATTACATTTAATTGAAAGTTAAAATAATACAAAATTATATTTTAACATCAATTTTTATTTAATATTTTTTTAAAAATTAAAACTTTTTTATAAAAAAACGATTAAAAAAATAATTAGATTTCTCTTCATAAAATCTTTTTTTCTATTCTATGAATAGTCTAACAAAAATATACAATAATTTCTGTTTACATTTTTTGTTCCTAACTTAAAATTTAAAAAAACGATTAAAAATAATTGTGTGTTGAGCGGTGGATGGTTCAATTTTGTTTTCTGGTGTATTTTTTCTATTGAGTTTGGAACTATGTAAATGTTTAAAACTGTTTATTGGTGTAAGGTGTGATTTTAACATGTCATCCGAGCATGAATCCGGTATGTCCATTCTCTTTGGGAATATTCCTCGAGATGCTGGTTTACTCTCTGCTGGCGTCGGTTGAGCCAGAGAATTTTCATTCTCAACATCTGATGTACTGGGGACATCCATTTTTTGGGGGTATAATTCTGGAGATAATGGATTGCACTCCATTCCTTCCATCATGCGAAATGCCTCCCTATTATTTTCATAGATCTGTAAGAAAATGGAAATTTTCTTGAAATTATAGTGAAATAAGTCTCAAAATATCAAAATAAAGAAAAATAATTCTAACCGTAACGTAATTTCTGAGTAATTTTGTCAAAATTTTATGTTCAATTCAATTTCACTCAACAAAAATATAAAATACCTTTCTTTTTATTGCGTCCGATCGCTTTTCAACATATTTGACTCCTGGATTGTTATTAAGTTCCTATATAAACAAAAAAAAATGTTTTAAATTTACTGTAACATAATATATAATAATTTGAGTCATTCTAATAATCCTAATTGCTAAATGACACATTTAGGTAAGAATAAACGTTTTCTTTGGTTTTACTTAAATTTAGATTTAATGTTATGATAATTTTTACTTGGTTTTCAGTTTAATCTTTAATTTAACTAGATATTAATAAAAATAAACGTACCCTTAAACAAGCATCCTTTCTTGCTCCCTCGACTTCGCTTGAAACATCTAAGTTTTTATAGAACTTTGCCACGAAATATTATTTTAAACCCTAAATAAAAAAATATAAATATTTAATAAACATTGAATTTAACAATCATTAAATAAAAAAGAAGATAAAAATGTAAAATCTGAGAACTCTAACACTGTCTATAAAATTAATTGTGAAAATTGCTCTGCATGTTATGTGGGACAATCAAAAAGAATGGTAGGTGTTCGTATTAATGAGCATAAAAACTCGATTTCTAATGTAATTGCTACTCATAACGATTTTTTTAAACATAAATTTGATTGGAAAATTTTTCTCATATTGGACAAAGAAGTAAACTACAAAAAACGTTTGATATCGGAAATGATCCATATTAATTTACAAAAAAATCCGGTTAATAAAAAGGAAGACGTACAAAATCTTAGTAATTGCTATAATCATTTTATAAATGAAATGAAATATTCTTAATCTGTTTGATTTGCCCTGACATTTCCTAAATTTTGTTTACTGACACGGTCATTCACCTCAAGTCAGTTAAATTATACTTCGTGAATTATACATTTTATTTACCAGTGTCGAATTGTAATCGCCACGACAAAGACGTTCCTTTTGGAACCTTTTCTAATTTTGTTTATTTTTTTCGGTAAATAATTTTTTAAAAATAAGTTTATAATTATTAACTTCATATTTTTAAGAATGTATTTTTATTTTAATTATTTTTCTTTTTTTGTTAAATAAATTATAGTTTCTGAAGAGGGCAGCCGCGCTGTCGAAACGTCAAACAACATTTGTTGTTTTATTGTATACACCTGACTCGGAATGATCGTTAAATTCAATGTTTATTAAATATTTATAACAACCGAGTGATAATATCATATAATAATTTTTAAAAAATATAAAGAATTTAGCTTTATATATGAAAAGTATTACTTCATTTTAAATACAAATTTTCTATATATATAAAATCAGTAAGCAGAAGAAGACAGTTTAATATTCCTTTTTTTGTTTGGAAAACCCAACCTACTTATTTAGGTTAGAAAAATCACTCAATAAAATGTTTTTTTTACTTATATCATTTCATTTGTAAGATTACATTAATTTTATTTTAAGTTTTAACTTTTAATTTAAGTAAAAATACCTTTTTTTGGATGACGTCCAATGGTTTTTCCTCATGTCTCACTTCTGGATTAATATTGCCATTGACTTCCTATACAAACACAAAAATTGATTGAGTTTCTTATAATATTAAAATATAATATTATTATATAACACAGGAACACAAAAAAAAGTCAAAACACAGAGGTCACACCCCCTATCCCCATGTTTTTGGGGTCGCTGAAACCGAATATGACCATAAAAATTTTTTTTCATCGGACATTTTCCCGCTTATACCCCCTTACATCTGCTCCCGGGGGTTGGAATTTCAGTTTTAAAAAAAGTGGAGTAGGGTGTCTGTTCCTATGATAGAGACTACAAAAAACAAATTCTTCCCTCCCTTAACCTCCTACAACCCCCTTAACAACCCCGGGGTGAGGGGTCGAAATTCAAATTTTCACGAAAAGTCGATTACGGTGTCTAAACCTACGTTTTTTGGGTCGCTGAAACCAAAAAAGACTACAAAAATTAAATCCTTTCCACCCTCAACCCCCTTAAACCCTCTGCAATAATTTTTTTCAAATAAAACGGATCGATTTTTGGGAAATTGAAAATTAAATATTAATTATCAAAAATTATTCCAGAGGGTTGTAGAGGGTTAAGGGTGGAAAGGATTTGATTTTGGTAGTCTTTTTTGGTTTTAGCGACCCAAAAAACGTAGGTTTAGACACCATAATCGACTTTTCGTGAAAATTTGAATTTCGACCCCTCACCCCGGGGTTGTTAAGGGGGTTGTAGGGGGTAAAGCGAGGAAAGAATTTGTTTTCGGTAGTCTTTTTTGGTTTTAGCGACCCAAAAAACATAGGAATAGACTCCCTACTCCACTTTTTTTTAAACTGAAATTCCAACCCCGGGAGCAGGTGTAAGGGGGTGGTAGCGGGAAAATGTCCGATGAAAAAAAATTTTCATGGTCATATTCGGTTTCAGCGACCTCAAAAACATGGGGATAGGGGGGTGTGATCTCTGGGTTTTGACTTTTTTTGTGTGCCTGTGTAATGTTAAACAATTTATCGACCCAAACAACACCGATGCCCGGTTTCACCAACCTCGATTAAGACATTAACGGACCGTCAAATTTCTACTTGCGTTTCACCAACTTTTAACGGAACGTTATCTCGATTTAACCGATGTTAACTCTAACCGGCCACAAGAGGTCGGTTAACGTACCCTAAACTAAAAAGTGTTTTGAAAAGTGACAGATAATGTAATTCTTGTTGCCAGAAAAATTAATTTTATGAACCATAAGTCAGAGAAATTAAGGAAAAGGTCAAATAAATTTTATTTCAAAGAAATTTTAAATTTGTTGTTAAAAGATACTTGAATTTTTAAAATAAATTTTATTAAAAAATAAACACATTAATTAAAATTTTCTTAAAATTAATACAAGTTTTAAATAATGTTATTTAAAATTCTGATAAAATTGTAAATTTTAATTCAATTGTTAAAAGATTTGAATTTTTAAAATAATTTTATTAAAAAATAATAAAAAATGAATTGAGATTTAATGAAATTTTTATAAAAATAGTACAATTTGTTGAGGCAGTATTAAATTCCCACAATTCAAATGTATATAGGAAAACTGCATAGTGCATAAGTTAAAATGCATACGAGTAAACTGCATTTAAAAAATAAAATCAGTAAATTATCTACTTTCGGTTCACAGTCATCAAAATAAGCAACTCAAAAAGGACAATTTTATTCGAGACAACCATTTAAATTTTTATATCTCAAATTTTTTATTGGATTTTTAATTTCTTTGGACTTTTTGATCAGGACAAAAAACCAAAAATTAAGTTTAAAGTGAAACTCGTGGTCAGTTTAAATTTGTACAGTTATTTAATTTAATGATTTTATTTTTTAAATTTTCATGTGTGAACTTTTCCTGTATACAGCAAAATTGATAGCTCCCTAATTTGATGAATCAATAGTTATTTTAAAACTTATTCAAGTAGGTATTAAATAATTTTATTTAAAATTCTGAAAAAATTGCAAATTTTAATTAAATTGTTTAAAGATAATTGAATTTTTAAAATAATTTTATTAAAAAATTATTTAATTAATTGAAATTTTGTGAAACTGTTTAAAAAATATTACAATTTGTTAAAAATCTTTATTAAAAATTAAAAAAAACAAAGTTTCAAAGAATTTTTATTTAATAATTTATAAATAATTGAATTGACTTGTACAAAGAGTTACAATTACAATTTTTATTAATTAGTAAATTTTAAAATAATTTAAATTAAGTAATTTATTTAATAAAAGTCTAGGAAAATTTTACTTAAAATTCTAAAAATTTAAGTTTTTAAAATATTTTAATTTTGTTATTATTAATTGAATTGAAGATGATTGAAATTTGATAAAGAAGTAATTTAAAGTTTGTAAAATAACACGGGGGTGACTCGAATAAATTGCAGAGTGTCCAATGTGTTGAAAATGGCCACCAGTTGTCGCTGATAGTATCTTTGTCCTATGTAAGTATATACAATGCATTCCGAAATAATATAAAAAGCTGATGAAAAGTAGAAAATAATATTAATAAACTTTTAAATTATTTTCGGGTTTTAAATAACATAAATAATTAATAAATACGCACATTTTTCATTTAGTGCAATTACTACAAAGTATTTAAAAATGAAAATAATTAATATTGTTAAAATGATAGAACTCAATTTTTTCAGATATAATTTCAATAAACCATTTTTAAATACTATTTTTTTATTTTATATACAAAATTGATTGATATTGTTAAAAATATGTACATATTTATATTATATAATTAAATAATTGTATAATTTTATATATTTTATATATGATGTTCGTTATTTTTGGATTTCAATAATTAATATAAAGCTGTTTTTTGTTGTTGTTCAATAATCCACATTTTTTATTTTGAAATTTCAAACGCTCATCTCTAAACAAAACATGATGTATTTTTCTGTTTTTATTTTTAATTTTTATGTTTGAGATGTATAAAATCTGTATGTGAAGGAAGTAATCCACAAATGTAAGTTTGAGGTTATGTAGAAAAACTTTTTAAATTTGTTATTAATATTTAGCCTCTAAAGATACAATGTTAAATTATATTAAAATATTTTTATACATTTTCATTTTCACTTTAGGGGAGACTGGGGTAAACCCGCTCACTTTTTTCAGATCAGCTAAAATCTAGGAAATTATTCTCTAAATCCAAGTTAATTTATATCATTTGAAAGCTTATGATTTCTACTAAAAAAATAAAAAAGAGTTTTTGATTTATCTTTTTTAGTTTTACTTAGAGAAACTTTTTAATAAACATATACCAAATTTCGAAATCACAATTTTCCAGGGTAAACCCGCTCACTTTATCTTTTCAAGACGGAAAAGTTTATTATTTTTTAAATATTAAAGTTCGTCTTATTCCCGTCTTAAGTATGATTTATTATTGATAATTTATGAGTTATATAAACAATTCTATAAACAAAAAATTGGTTTAATTAATAATGAACATAGATTTCATGAATTACAACTATGGATTTAAATAGTGTTATATTTTATTAAGAGAAAGTGAAATGTATTTACAATTTTGGTTTTAATAAGTCATAAATTGTGTTATTGTTAAAATATAATACGTGAAATTATTTTATTCTAAATTTTAAATTTAAAACTAAGTGAGCGGCTTTACCCCGAGTGTATTCCTCACATTTCAGAATAAATTTAATTAAATCTTTTTAAAATAAGACAAAACTATATATGTACTTCGATGAAGGACATCCAATAGCAACAAAAAAAATTTCCCAGATAAATTAAGACTCAAAAATAATGATCGAAAAACTTAAAAATCCAAAATACGTATTTTTTCTGACACCTCTAAAAACATTTGATCGTCTCTGATTCTGTGTCGAATTCATGAAACTAAACGAAAGTTCGTTAATATAAGTTGAATGTTAAGTACTATTCACAGTACCAATATCTCCATCTTAAGTTGAGTTCATAGCGTAAAATCGCTAGTGAGCGGGTTTACCTTGTGAGCGGGTTTACCCCAGTCTCTCCTATATGTATTTTTTGTAAAGTTTTTATTTATTGTTGAGTATTGACAGTTATCATGTTTGCAGTGAATGAAATGCCTGATGAGGTCCATCGTGTATGGATGAAAAGCTTCGCTTTTTTAAATAAATAAAAAATGTGGATTATTGAACAACAACAAAAAACAGCTTTATATTTATATATTTTATGTATAATTTATATATCACTTATATATACAAATTAATCAAATTGTAATTTAGATTTTACTGAGTTTCAAGTTGTAATTTCATTTGCAAATTAAATTTGCAGAAAAAGATTATTAATTAATAAATAATTATTACTGATATTTGTATATATGGGTGATTCTCCTGAAAGTGGGCAATTTCATGTCTTTGAATTATATCTTCTAAACAACTTAACATTTAAATATTAACATTGGACAAACATATTATTTAAACATCACTTATTATACCCTTTATAAAAAACGATAATTTTTTAACACAAATTTAGTGGAAAACAACATTTAACAGCTGGAAAACAGCAATTCAATAAGTCTTTACCTCTGAGTACCAAACTTTAAAGTACTATTACTTATAAAAAAAGAACTATCTTTAATTATTCAATAAATATTATGAAAGATTAACTCAAAAGCTTCAATTTTTATCGATGAAATTTTTTAATACATCAATATAGTTATTGATAATTATTAAAATATAAGTGTCTTTAAAAATCTCCATGCTGGCACGACAAAGGATAAACGTGTATAAATAAACTATAAGACGTGCACTTTTTATATAAAAATCAATTGGAAATTAAAGAAAAAACATGTCACTTTTCAAATCTCCAAGAGAAATTGGAAAATAAATTATATTTTTCATATTTTTAAGAAAAAAACACTAGAAAAACACTGCGTATTTTTATTCATTCCTTTGTCGTGCGCTGTCATAACTTTAATATTTCAATATAAATATCAATAAAAAACGGATGAAAACTTACAGTTTGGTAGGACAAAAGTGTATACCTAGCAATTTTTTTATTTACTTTTGTTTAAAATATGTATTAATGGATTTCGTACAAATTTTCATTGTCGTGGAG